TATTTTTGGGCTAATGCCCTAACATTAATTTAATTTAGTTTTAATTCTTTTATTATTTTTCTTCTCAGATGTTTCTTTCTAATGAATTGGTCATTACATTTACAAAGTTTTGAAATGGCTAACAGAAACTAGAAAGACATTTCTTTTGGCCTAATGTTAATTTAATGTAATTATGCTGCTGGTTTTTCTTATAACATCTTTCTAAGAGGCTGCAGTAGCTGTTTTTTGAAAATTATTTCTTTGACTCAGTTCCTGTTAGGCCCCCAGAGATGGTGAGTAATCAGGCTGTCATCCCAGGCAGGTGGGCTGTGCTGGTAAAGGCTACCTGCTTTTCAATTCCCACAAAGAGAGCAGAGCTGCCTGTGAGAGTCTTTGTGTAAACTCCTCCCACTCACCCTACTTAATGAATCAAAACTGCTTTGCTGCTCCCTGGCTCATTTCCTATTATAGACAAAGGATATGAATTTGGACTTGGGAGTATTGCTGATCCTCACCTGCAGGAAGAACATTTTCCTTTCTGTTGTTTTAGATGCCACCAGCCATCTTTGTCCTGTGGAAGAAGGACCTTTCCCTGAGCCCAGTGCTCAGAGGGCCCCACACCTTGCAAACATTGACATTCAAAGATCTTTTATTTTTCAAATTTTATAAGAAAGGTTTGAAAGACTGGTAAAAGGGTTAGTGAAAAAGGCTGTAAGGGAGATACAGAAATGAGCTGAGCTCCCCAGGTAGGAAGGTGCTCTTGTGACTAGGGGAGGGGGGATGACCAAATATAACAATCCAGCAGGTTTTTCTACCCTGTAGGGCCTTGTCTGGGAAATAGAGAGTGGGGACAGTAGACGAAAATTACACTTTCCTGGAAGAGAGAAAGTGAGGCTGCAGGAAAGTTTGCCAGCTCAATCTGCCTAATGCAGGTAATTAAGGAGAGTTGGTTCTCTGTAAAACCTTGCCTCTTCAATCCAACCTGGGAGACTCAGGCAGCTCCTAGAAATTCTCTCAGAAAAGGGACTGGTGGAATGGAATTCCACTGCCCTGACGCAGCATCCATCCTTCCCTACCCCTGGCTACAGGATGGGCCAAAGGGAAAGAGATTTCTTCAGCTTCCAGGTTTCTAGGGCAAATGCTTGGGAACAAGGCTGTGGGTCTCTGGGTCTGGGTGGGATTAAGAGTTGGGCTGAGCTTGATATTTAACTTATAAATATTCTGACATATGGTATGTGGATTTTGTTCTTTTGCTGCAGACTCTGCAAATATTATAGGAAGGACCTGCCACTGGATTCTCTAAGTGAAATTCTAATCTGTGATTTTAATGGCAACCCTATTCGGAATTCATAAACAACATAGGGGCTCCACCTTGTGGTGTGTTGTCAAATAACATGCCTCTTTTTTGGTTTGTTTCAATTTAGATTTTTAAAAATTTACATAGTGCTTTACATAAGTATGGGGGACAGTGTTATAATTCACATGCAGACAGTGTGTCATGATAAAGTCAATACATTAATATTTCTAGGTTATGTTAACCATTTCAAAACTTTGCGATTAGTATTTCTATGTACTTCCACATTTGTCATTTCTTTTTATTTGGAGCCTTTAAACTCCTTTCTTGAGGGTCTTTATAACCTTTATAGTAGGTTGTTGTCGTAAACTAATAATCTCCCTACTGTAACAGAAAGCTTAGTTCTTGATCCTGATGTTCATCCAATGAGAATACAGCTTTGAGAAAAAGGAAAAGGAAGTTTATTGATTTGGTATCAAAGGAGAAACACAGGGGGACACCTGTCTCAGAGGCTGTGATTCTTCTGCAGGAACTGAGGTGATTCAAAGGCTACATTCTAAGTGTTCTCTGTTGGAGTTGTGATTGACTTGCTAATTTGGGCGATAGTCATTTCTGAGATCTTCTGGTTCCATCCTCAAAGTCTGGTTTACTTTGTTCCTTTGGTAGGTGTGTGGTCAAGGGCAGGTAAATCTGCCTAGGATGGGGAAGAAGGGTAATCCTGTTTCCCCTGAGGCTAGGGAGGAAGAGAGATTGAAGAGGGGCAGAGAAAAAAAAAAAGAAAAATGCCCATATAAAAAAATAAGTTGCCGGGCTGGGAATGTGGCTCAGGAGGTAGCGAGCTCCTCTGGCATGCATGCGACCCTGTTCGATCCTCAGCACCACATACCAACAAAGATGTTGTGTCCTCCGAGAACTAAGAAATAAATATTAAAAATTCTCTCTCTCTCTCTCTCTCTCTCTCTCTCTCTCTCTCTCTCCTCTCTCACTCTCTCTTTAAAAAAAAATAAGTTGCAGTGGAAGAGCAGTAAAGGTTATATACAAAACATAAAGTGGTCCTTTGTTATACTACTGTTCTGTGAAACACCAGAATTTATTCTTTTATCTAACTGTATTTCGGTAGCCATTATCCAATTCCTCCCTATTAAGCAATGTTGAGAGTGTTTTCAAAACTGATTTTCAATTGAAAGTCAAAATCGTAGGTTCAAATAGTTTCCTCAACAGTATACTCAGAGTAGTTGAATCTATTTTATAAAATGATATTATAACAGTCCAATTTAATAAAGTATTTTATATTTGCTTCTGAGGATTCCTTGGTAGATTGAGGGTACTCTAGCAATTTTTTTTTTCAAACAAGATTTATTCTATGAGGTTTAAGATGTGTTTAAACACTTGTTTTTGTCTTTATATCTGAAAGAGTTTGAGTATAAAGTTTGGGCATCATATTATCTTTCATTTAATACATTTTTGGCATTCCTTCATTCTTTTGTTGGATTAAGTACACACTTACTGGGTTTTTATTTGTTTTGATATAGTGGAACTTTTCCACTGAGCCACATACCCAGTCCTTTTTACCTTGTGACAGGTCTCACTGAGTTCTTGAGGCTAGCCTGAGGCTAACCTCAGCCTTCCAAATTTCTGGGATTTTTAGGCATACACCATCAGGTGTGCCAAACATACTGATTTTTATCTCTCTCTGCATAAATAACTTTACCTTTGTGTCTTGTTTTTCAAAATGCTATTTTTTTTTGAGAGTGAGAGAGAGAGGGGGACAGAGCGAGAGAATTTTAACATTTATTTATTTTTTCTTAGTTCTCAGTTGTGTTCTCAGCGGACACAACATCTTTGTTGGTATGTGGTACTGCTGAGGATCGAACCCTGGCTGCACGCATGCTAGGCGAGCGCGCTACCGCTTGAGCCACATCCCCAGCCCCAAATTTCTTTACCTTCTAAAATCCAGTGAATTTGCAAGAGAATATCTTGGTTTCAAAAATCCTGCATCACATTTCACTCAGACATTCTATGTCTTTTTAAATTATAGATTAGTCTTCATTTATTTAGGGGAAGTTTTCTTATTTTACCTTGGAGTATGTATACATGCATGTGTGTGTGTGTGTGTGTGTGTGTATGTGTGTGTGTATATATATATATAATATTTATTTCTAGATGATTAGGTATTTCTTTGCATTTTTTGAATCCTTATATATAATATTCTCTCACATTTATAAATTATGGTATTTTAATTTTTCTTTAATATTCTTCATGTTTGCATCTTCTCTCCTTATAATTCTCTTAATCTTTATTTCCTTTTGATCATTCTAGTGTGATCCTCATTTCTGATAGTTTTGTTGTTTTATTTTCATGTCTTTTCTGAATTTTATCAGCCCATATATATTCTTTCCATATCAGCATGCTTCCATGAATTTATAAATCAACATTAAGTATCATAATGTGATTTTATTTATTTTATTTTTATTTTTTAAAAATTTATTTATTATTCTAAATTGTTATACATGAGAGCAGAATACATTTCGATTCATAGTACACAAATGGAGCACAATTTTTCTTTTCTCTGGTTGTACACAAACTAGACTTCATATATGTACCTAGGGTAATGATGTCCATTTCATTCCACCATTTTTCCTACCCCCATCTCCCCTTTATTCCCTTTCCTACCCTTTGCACTATCCAAAGTTCCTCTATTCCTCCCATGTTCTCTCTCCCTACCCCCCTTATGGATCAGCATCCATTTATCAGAGAAAACATTCAGTCTTTTTTGGAATTGGCTTATTTCACTTAGCAAGCTATTCTCTAGTTTCATTCATTTACCTGCAGATGCCATGATTTTATTCTCTTTTAATGATGAGTTATATTTCATTGTGTATATATGCCACAGTTTCTTTATCCATTCATCTACTGAAGGGCATCTATGTTGGTTCCACGATTTAGCTATTATAAATTGTGCTGCTATAAACATTGATGTGGCTGCATCACTGTAGTATGATGTTTTAAAATCCTTTGGGTATAAACCGACGCATGGGATACTGGGTCAAAGAAACAAATAACCAAATAACCAAAAAACAAATAACCCAGTCAATAAATGGGCTAAGGAACTGAACAGACACTTCTCAGAAGAAGATACACGATCAGGCAACAAATATATGAAAAAATGTTCAACATCTCTAACAATTAGAGAAATGGAAATCAAAACTACTCAAAATTTCATCTTGCTCCAGTCAAAATATCAGTTATTAAGAATACAAGCAACAATAAATGTTGGTGAGGATGTTGGATAAAAGGCACACTTTTACATTTCTGGTAGGACTTCAAATTGGCGCAACCAGTCTGGAAAGCAGTATGGAGGTTCATGATGTGATAATTTAGAAACTGCATTCTTATGATATTTTTATGGAGAATTCTGTCATACAATTTGCTTTTCTTTTTTGGTTGTTATTTATCTTTCAATGAGGTGAATTATTCACTAACCAGCTCTTTGTAAGATGTTTGCAGTAGGTTTCATTACTTAACAGAAACTTTCATTTGGGGCTGTAAAATGGGTTGCAACCAGCAAAGAGACTGATGTCATCCAACTTTAGAAAGTCAAAATATAATCAAAGTGAAGTGATTGAAAAAAAAAGTAAGGACTATGTTAAGCAAAAATCATTTGTAAGCTAGATATTTACTTGATGAATTTCTGTAGATTCACTTTTTTTTTTTTTTTAAACTAAAGACACTTGCTCAACAACAAGGAATAGCACCAGTTGTACCTCATCCAACTCTTCGCTTTCTAACTACTTGTATGTCTTCATCTTGGGGCAACTGTTGCTGGGGACTGGAGGAACCCCTCTCTACACCCTGGGAACAGCCTTTATTGATGATTCTGTGCCCACTCACAAGTCTTCTCTCTACATAGGTAAGTTTAACCTCTAATATAATCATCCCAGGATCATTTTGTCCTATTGTTTACTTTATGAGTATACTTGATCTTTGTCAAAAGGTAAAGAAATTTGGTTCTCATTTTACAAGTAAAGCAAAACAGGCTTGGTAAAAAGTTATTTGTAATGTCATAGGCATTTCCATTAGGTAAATGCAGTATTTCCTTTATTTAACTATTTACTGCTATAACTAGATGATTAATAAAATGCATAATGATTTTTGCTTATCCTCCTCTGGGCATGCTAACCTTCCTGGATGGAAAGAACCACTGGAGAAGCCTTTTGTCTGGGTTGCCTAAATCCTGGGGAACTTACACAGGGTGTGGTAATTGTGACTGGTTACATCTACGTTAACTTGAATAGACTCCACAAAAAACAAAAAAAACCAAAAACCAGAGGATGTGTAGAAACTCTTAAATTTTCATTTTAGATTAACACTTTTATATGAGTCCTTTTTTTTCCCCTTTGTGAACTAATTCTAGGTAAAATTCCTTCTCTGAAGTCTAGAGCTAACCAGACTATGCAAGGTGCTTCACCTAATTATTGCCTGATTAATTTTTATATGAGTTTTCTCTTTATTGTTTTTTATTCTATCATAAGAAACTCATTGCTGTAGTACTGAAAGTCAGTGGGTTCGGTGTGGCCCTGACAGACTACTAACTTCTACCTGGGCACATCCTTTAATATTTTTTTTTTTTGCCTCCAGTGCTGGCAGTTGAACCTGGGGGCTTTGTACAGTTAGACAACCATTTTATCACTGATCCATATGCCCAGATCTAGGTACATCTGTAATATGGAAACTTCTATAGCAACTGTGTGCTTTACAAAAGTTTTAAGATGTCCTTACAAAATTGTTGGTTTAACTGAATTGGTAATCATTTCTTTAAAAGATCACCACTAAGCTAGGCATAGTGGTGCATGCCTGTAATCCCAGCAGCTTGGGAGGCTGAGATAGGATGATCATGAGTTCAAAGCCAGCCTCAGCAAAGGTGAGGCACTAAGCAACTCAGTGAGACCCTGTCTCTAAATAAAATACAAAATAAGGCTGGGGATGTGAGTCAATGGTTGAGTGCCCCTGAGTTCAATCCCTGGTACCAAAACAAACAAACAAACAAGATCATCACCAAAAAGAATTTATAAATTACTGATTTCTAGCATTTTTAAGATGCCCTTTTATTCATAAAGTATTTTTAAGTATGAATTCTTTATATGTATACAACTACTTATGAATTATATAGTTTAATTTTTCTACTAAAGTATTTTTTACTTTTTAAAATACAGCTGTATTATAAATTAAGGAAGTTGGCAGATAGATAAAAGTTATGTTTTCAAATCATCTTCCATGAGCTTCATTTTGGAGACTTGATTTAGTACATTAGTCATTTTTGCCATTGAGATGTACTTAGTTTAGGTAAAAACTAAATTTCCTCTTCTTTTTTGTATAAGAATGAAAAACCCAGCAGTAGTCTGTAAGTTGGTAATACAGTTAATTTTTTTATACACAGGAAAATGTTAAATATATAATACACACAAATAAGTTCAATTAAATCTTGCCTCTAGTTAAAAATGGAGAATGTCTAAAAACAAGAGGTTTAATGAATGTCTATTAAGAAATGGAATTAATAGCAGATAGAAGTTTCAAAATCCTTTTGTATGGCAATTTAAATACTCTTCGAGTGGGTGCAAAGTAAAGAGACTTCTTGTTTCATATTGTTTTATTTCCTGAGATTGTAAACACTAGTTATCATTCATAGTACAGAATAATAGTAGATGTGCTACTCATGCTACCAGTGAACGTTATCTAACTTTCCATGGAGTTGCAATTATTTTGGCTTGTTGTAATTATTATAGTTAGACAGATTTTCTACTGACATACATTTTAGATTCCTTAAGATAATTATTGATAAAATGATACCATTCAAATGGTATATTTATTGAATTTTTTTTGTAATTTTGAAGTAGACTTCCTTAGTTATATTTTTCTATAGCAAAATATTTGTCTTTTTTCACTGTTGTTAGAGATGTAAACAAAGTTGTATATTTGGCTCTTTCCAATGTCTGTTTTTTTTTTCTTTCTTTCTAGGAATCGGCTATTCTATGTCAATCTTAGGCCCAGCCATTGGCTATGTTTTGGGAGGACAACTGTTAACCATGTACATTGATGTTGCTATTGGAGAAAGGCAAGACAATATCTCTTTTTATTTCATTTGAGTCTATTTGATTTCAATATACTAACATCATAGATCATTTTCACTGTACTTATTCAATATGTCGTGGGATTTTTAAGCCACAAAACTGACCATATACAACTTTTATATGATATCTTATTCTGGCTGCATTGCTTCATAAACAAATACCATACCATCTCTTGGTGTAATAATGTATTTATTCATAAATAAGGATATTTAATAGGTTTATGTGGTTAAATTTTTAGAAATACATTTTTTTTCTAAGATTTCATGCATTGTTCAAAATCAACAATTCAATATAAAGTAGTCATGTTTTCTGTAGATTTAGTTGGGGACAGCTAGCCTGAAGTAACTGATGGGGCTTTGATTCTCAGAATAAATTTTCTGGTAGCTCTGATAATGTCATACAGATTACAATTATAATTATAATGTCATAGAAATCACTATTTTAATAACGTGGCAATATAATAATAATGATATATAATATTTATCCTATACTATATTCCAGACAGCAAATGTTTCCAATAAACATAACTTACATGTTTTCTTACTTAATCTTCCCAATAATCCTTTAAAGCAGCTGATACTTACAGGTTGGTAAGTAGCCACAACATTATTGAAGTAGATCTTTTAATTGCAAAATCCACATTACCTGCCTTTACCTTTTCCTGAATAGACAAATTAATGACCTTTGCTGAGAATCTGTTTTTTTCATTTTACCATTGGGAATCATAACTGCACAATCCTTTGCTTGATTATAAGCAATGAATAAGGAAATGTAGTCCTTTGTATGTGATTTTTTTCCCCTAGAGTTTTTAGTCTTAGTATACCCTTTTATAGACTGTGATAAGTTAAAACAAAACAAAGAAAAAACCCTCAAAATGGTTTAAAGATTTTGATGCAATACCTAGAATTCTGAAACTACTAGTGGAAATATAAGGAGAGTACTTCAGGATACAGATTGAGAAATGATTTTTTTGGGTAGGACCCCAAAATTTCAGGAACAAAAGCAAACATTGACAAATTGTATTACATCAAATGAAAAAGCTTCTACACAGAAGAGGAAACAACAGACAACTTTACAGAATGGTAGAAAATGTTTGCTAGTTACTCATTTGATTTAGGATTGTTAATATCCAGATTTTTCTTAGGAACACAAAAAAAGATGATCTGAGTTAGAACTGCTGTTATACAAATAATTTGGCAAGAATGTGGAGAAAAAAGGAAACTCTTATACACTGTGGTGAGAATGTAAATTTGTACAGCCACTATGGATAATAGTATGGAGGTTCCTCAAAAATGAAAAACGGAGCTTCCAAATGATTCAGCTATGCTACTTTGGGTGTATATACAAAGGAAGTGAATGTAGCATAAATTAGAGATTTCTGCATACCCACGTTTGTTACTGCACTCTTCTCAATAGCCAAGATAGGCATTCAACCTAGGTACAGATAAATGGACATGTGAAAATATTTTACACACACACACACACACACACATACACACATATATATGACAGGATTAAATAAGAAAACATATATACACATATATATTTATGTGTATGTGATGTGTGTTTATATATACATATATAATATATGTACACATATATATATATCAGAAATAAATACATATATATGAACATTATTCAACCATAAAGAAAAATAAAATTCTGTCACTTATAGCAAAATGAATGGTATTGGATGACATTATGGTAACAGAATAAAAGCCAGATACTGGAAGAAAATTATCACATGCTCTCTCTTATGTGAGGAAACTGAAAAACAAATCAACTTGAAAGTAGAACAGTGATTTCTAGGGACTTGGGATGAGTGCCAGCGGACAAGGGGAGTAAGAGTAAGATGGATGGATGGATAGGATCAAGGTACACAGTATGCATGTGTGGAAATATCGGTGACTCCAAATCACTTTAGAAGAGTTTATACTTAAGTAAAGGCCAAATGTGAAGCCATGAATGTGGGTTTTCAACATAGGTCAGTGATTTTTTTGTGTGAGATATATTTAATTAATTTTAAATAATTATATAATAATTTTAAGTAATTTTAACATAGTAGAGGGTAAAAACAGCCATAGTTTAGTAAATAATCCTCAGAAATTCTATATATATGTTTTCAAATATCCATCATACTTATTAACTGTTAAATATTTTAAAATTTTATGTCACATTTATTGTTTTAAAAAACTTTGTAAATAATTATTCATTTAACTTATTAATGTCTACTACCATTGTCTGATTATCAGAAAAGGCATCAATAAAAATTTGGTTATTATGATAATATCATACTTGATTCTCTTTAATTTTCGAGTCTATGCTTATCATAACTGAGTTTTAATTAACAACATTGACTTGGCTTTTACTTTCTTTTTTTTTTTTGTTTAGCTCTGGTATCACTGAGGATGATCCACGATGGTTGGGGGCTTGGTGGATTGGATTTCTCATATCTTGCTTCATTGCTTGGTCTTTGATAGTACCTTTCTCTTGCTTCCCCAAACATTTACCAGGTAAAAAAGTTTTCTTTAAAACCAGAGTGTTTTTTTTTTCCAATTCTAGCAAGGATGTAGTTTTCTTTTTTTGGTAAGGAGATTGAACGCAGGGCCCTGTCCATTGAGCTAAACCCCCAGTCCTTTTCTTTTGTGTATTGAGGCAGGATCTCACTAAGTTTCTTAGGGTCTCACTAAATTGCTGAGGCTAGCTTTGAACTTGCTATCCTCCTACCTCCACCTCTAGAGTTGCTGGTTATAAGTGAAAGTCACTGGGCCCAGCCAGATGTTGTTTTCTATACGACTAATAAGATTGTACATTTGTCCACTTTGCTTTTGTATAGAATCTCAGTTGTGTACATATGTAAACTTTTGAATACATAACTTTATTTTAGACAATTTTTACTTGCAATTTTAATATGCATGTATTTCTCATTAATATATATATGTGTGTATATATATATATATTTTTTCATCTCCTTACTACTTACTAAATTTGTTTTTTTATCTTTTATTTGTAGTCCTGCTTTATTATATTATATTGTAAGATACAATATCTTTAAAACTCTTAGTTTGTATTTTGTTAATGACTAATTTCAAGGAACATTCTGCCTCAAATCCTTCATGTTAATTATTTGTGGTTACAAGTGCTTATTTTTTCAATTATCATTGAAATCATATTGTAATACATTCATTTTTATCATATCTTAATACTAGATATTTATTTAAAAGGAAAAATTTAATAGAAAATAATGTTCATTGTCCTCTCTGAGATCTTGCTTCTGTATCTGAAATAAGTATATAGAAGTACTCTTCTCTAGGTTGGGAATATTTAGTGATTCCCATTGTTATTTGCAAAAAGATAGATGATTAATTTTTGGAAAAGGGCAAAAGAGAACTTGACAGATTAAAAGTAGATGAACTCATTGATTTCTTTTTACTGCAGGTGTCCTCCAATTTATGATTTCATATGTTGACTATTTTCTCAGATTTATTCACATAGTACTATTGAAAAATGAAGCCAGGCCTGGTAGCACTTGTCTGTAATACCAGCTACTTTGGTAGGCTGGGAATTTGCAGGAGGAAGCAAATTCAAGACCAGCCACACCAACGTAGATGTTCAGCAACTTAGTGAGACTTTTACTAAAAAGACTGGGGGATATAACTCAGTGATGAAGTGCACTTGGTTTCAATCTCCAGTACAAAATTAAATAATAAAATTAAAAATGAAAGGGACATTGTGATAGTAAATATTATTTTTCATCTACCAAGCATCTTAGAAAAAAAGAAGAAAGAAAAATAGCCATAATGTACTTTAATAAATAAAGGATGAGAAAGAGAAACATTTGAAATGTAGACAACATGTTAAGAGACTTGAAATGAAGGAAATACATAGGAGATGAGAGCAAAATTGTCTCATTTTAATGTTTAGACTGTTGGAACTTTCTTAGGTAGTGGTAATGAAAGTTAGTTCTTGGGCCGGCCTCATCGCAGACATAAATATTTGTACTATTTTATTGACAGAGAGGAACTGTCCTCTTTCGTTATAGAATTTACATAGCTGTGGAAGTTTGTGTCAATTAAATAGTAAGTATTTTTTGAAATGGTGAGTGAGATGATAGAGCAAGTACGTTTACTATTTTTTCCCCAGGTACAGCAAAAATTCAAGCTGGAAAAATTTCCCAGACTCATCAGAATAAGAGTAGTTCCTTGCAACACACAGATGAGAATTTTGGAAAAAGTTTTAAAGATTTCCCAGCTGCTCTGAAGGTGAAATAAACTGTTTTCACTTTCACTTTTTTCCCCTTACTTTCCTTCCATCCCTCATCTGCATGTACATAATGCATATGTAAAACACACACACAAACCTTTTTGTAGTATATTTTTGTTTGCTCATTTACTGAAATTCTACATTTTATCAACATCTCTTCAGATTTAGTTTTTTTCCCCTTGAGAACAACTATTCCAGAGTAGAATAGCTGAAAAAGCATGAGTTATTTTATTGGTGATATCAAAATCTGTGATCCCCTTTGTTAACTAGCCCATTTTCCCCTCTTATTTCCCTTATGCAGTGCTTGATCACTTGTCACTGAAGCCTTTTCCTTCTCCCCTCAGCCACCTTTCATCTCCCCTCAGCCACCTTTCGTCTCCTCTCCACATGTGCACATTCTTATAAGCTTGTTCATAACTTAATTCCAACTACTATTATTTTCTCTTACAGTAGCTCTGTTCTGTTTGATATATTTTAACTTATTTTATATATACTTAACTTATTTTATAAATTATAATTTACACTACTTTCAAGAATTATTGGTTTCCATATTTTTTTTTTATCCTTATACCTTCTGTGTAGAAATCCCTATAGTGATTCAGTTCTCTATGAGAACAGAGTTTTATTGCTGCTTTTCCTTGGATGGGATACCACCTAATATCCTTGAATGTCTGAATAATGTTTCTGACTAAATGAATATTTTGAGGGTCATTCCACTTGAATTCCAGTAGTTTTTGGGTACTGTTGTTCTTTTCTATGTAAATGTGTTGCAGTTGAAGTTCCAGGTTAGTATGATGTTGATTTTCTATGTGTTAATTTGCAAAAATTTTCATGTATCTGATTTCTAGTTAATGCTTAAGCATAAAGATTAGAAGCATTCCAGCAATAAAGATATTTAGTTGTTCAACTTTATTCTAAATTTCAGACTCCTTATTCTTTGAGTGTCATTATGATCCTTAGAGACCAATCTCATCTGTGCTCATAGTGTCAAGGTTTTTGTTTAGTGGACATAAGAAATCAAAACACAATTAAAAATCAAATAAGTGGATTTATAGTACATGCATCTATAATAATAAGTGTGGGTAAGGAAACCTTTCCAAGTGAGCTTCTACCTTCTGTCTCTAGCCTGTTGAGTGTAATAAAGGCATGATCATGGCACTGATGAAGTCTCTATAATTCTCTAGATGCTTCACCTACCCATTTTCTCATTAATACATATGTAAATGTATTCATTATCCTTAGTTATATTTTGATACTGGAGAGAATGCTGTAATTTTACAGGCTAATATTGTGTTTATTGAAAGTTTTGATATTTCACAATGCTACCATTTTAATGCTGCACTTTGCAGTATAATCTTAGTTATTCATTTGGTGAACTGTATTTTTTTCTTTAGAATTTGATGAGGAATACTGTCTTTATGTGTTTAGTTTTATCAACTTCTTCAGAAGCCTTAGTTACTACTGGATTTGCAACATTTTTACCTAAATTTATAGAAAATCAATTTGGACTGTCATCCAGCTTTGCAGCTACCCTTGGAGGTAAAACTTTTTCTTTGTCCTAACTTAATCTAATAATTTTACTTTACCACAGCAGCACATTTTCAGTAGGATAATATATAATTTTGAATATCTTGCACCTTGAAATTTACACTTTATACTTAAAATTTTTCAATTTCTTTTTCTGTTTTTTAGTTGTAAATGAACACAATACTTTTATTTTGTTTATTTATTTTTATGTGCAGCTGAGGATTGAACCCAGTGCCTCACACATGTGAGACAAGCGCTCTACCACAATCCCAGCCTCTACACTTTATACTTGTTTGGATAAAAGTTTCTGATTTTATGACAATTCATTGTATGAACCTGAGATAGACAATTCTATCAGGCTAAAGAGAATATCTTCATGTTCAACAGTTAATTTTACTAAACCCTTACTTAATAAAAACTACTTTCATTTATGCAGTATTTTTATGTTGGCGGAAAATTTCTGTATGTTAAACCATATTGTAGCTTGCTTTTTACTTTTTCCCAGTTGTCAGTTTGATTTACTCAGTATTCCTGTGTTTTCTCTCTTGCCTTTTTTCTCCTTAGGAGCTGTTTTGATTCCTGGAGCTGCTCTTGGTCAGATTTTAGGAGGTGTTCTTGTTTCAAAGTTCAAAATGACATGTAAAAATACAATGAAATTTGCATTGTTCACATCTGGAGTTGCACTTGTGCTGAGTCTTATATTTATTTATGCCAAATGTGAAAATGAGCCATTTGCTGGTGTGTCTGAATCATATAATGGGTAAATATATTTCAATGCTTTTTTATATTATTATCAGAGTAGCAAACTATGTATGCATTTACAAGTATACGCATTCTTAAATTATGATTAATTGATTTTTTTTTTACTTAGAAGGCTTTTTATTTCTATGAAAGAGCATGTGGAATTTTTTGTTTTACTTTTAGTCTGAATAATTGATATCTTCTTTAAAAAAATTGCGTTTGTTCAAAGAGCTTTTAAGAAGGAAATACCATATACTGGGTGGGCACTATACCTGCCTCAGGGTTACAAAGACTAATACAACACAATATTTGATTAAGAGATTCACACCTACCATGTGAATGTGTTCCCCAAATGTATATGTGTTGAAATAATTTCCATCTTTATAGGGCAATAGTGTATATATATATATATATATATTTTTTTTTTTTTTTTGTGTGTGTGTGTGTGTGTGTGGTGCTGGAGATCGAGGGCCTTGTGCACACAAAGCAAGCACTTTACCAACTGAGCTATATCCCTAGGCCAGTCAATAGTATTTGGAGGTAAGGTCTTTAGAAGATACTTAGAATAAGAGGAAGCATCTAGAGTACAACCTCCCTGGTGATGTTAATGGCTTTATAAGAAGAGGAAGAGAGACCTTAAGCTGGCTTTCTTTCTCTGTCTTGCTTTATGATATCCTCTACCATGCTCTGATATAGCAAGAAGGCCCTTACCAAATACTGAGCAGATACTGGCACTGTGTCCTTGGACTTCTTGGCCTCCAGAACTATGAGCCAAATAAATTTATATTCTTTGTAAATTACCCAGACTAAGGTATTTTGTCATAGCAACAAGAAAACAAACTAAGATAACAATGTGGGTAGAATTTCACATTTTATTTTCCCGTTAATTTTTTTAAATTAAGATTATTCCATATTATTAAATTTTCTTAATAGTTGGGTTGAAAATAAAATAAAAGATTAAAATGAGGCTAGTCCCAGGTATACCATTGTTGTGTCTACTTAGAAATCTATGTGTATTGTAGAGAAATATGCAATTTGCTAATCTGTGCTATAAATGTGTTTCTACCTCTAACCAGTTTGACTATTTGCCTTTCTTTCTTTGCCTTATTTATCTTGCTTTGAAATCCTAAAACAGGAGAGGGTGATCAGGTAGGAGGCATTGCACAGCAGTGCATTTTGTAGTTCACAGTAGTGCTTTAATTATTTCATTAGATGTGCATGAGGCTGTTGAGAGAGGTGGTACTCCAGGTCCAGGACACCATAATTCTGTGTTATTCAGCATTTCAGATGGTAAAATGAATTGTAATTTGTTTGGAAAGTTTGTCAATACCAATAATCATGATTTGTAGTTGTTATTCACATGTCTATCATTCCTTCACATCATTGTGATGTCCAGTTCTAAAGTAGTGTTTGGTTAAGCTCCATAACATGTATACAACACTTGTTGAATGCTTGCTCTGAAATATCCTTATTCTAAAGGAGAGGTTTGAAAGCACAATAGTGAATGAACAATGACTTAATTCATTGAGGATGTACAAAGTGCTATGTAAATCAAAAGGAGAGCTTTCTATTTGATTTGATTAGATTCAGAATGAGTTCATGGCTATGTAAAAAACTGAGTTTAAATCAGTTAGAGATACAAGAATTTTGAGATTGATAGGTTAGAGAAGAGGGGAAGATAGAGGTGTAAATGCTGTAAAAAGTGAAGGTTAGATTCAAGGATCAGTTTAAATGGGGCTTCTTATGTTATATGTCTAGAAATATTAGAAAAATATCTAGGAATGTTGAAAAGTAGGTTGAAGTAAGTTGTGTAGACCTGACTTTCATCCTTATAAACTTTACACAAACTTATAACAACAAAGCACCTTTTTTCCATATTCTTTTTAGAAAAACAAAATTTTAAATAGTTTATTATTCCAAGTAACAAGATAGATATGAATGTCAAAATCTGGAACATAAAGATAATGATTAATATATATGCACATCTCTTGGTGGTGCAGAAAACCCTGAAAGTTAGTGTCATACACAAACCCACATTCACCCATGTTTATGTATGTGTGTATAGAGAGCTATAAATAGAGATAGGGCTTGATGTCACAAAGTAGGTGTGACAATGTCTGATTATTTTTCCCTGTGCCCCCCAATTCTTAATTTTAGCTTCTATACCTGCATATTAAAATGTTTATGTCATGACCACTTAGTCAAAATAGCCTCATCCAAGAAACATGAGTATAAGAAAAAGGAAAGAGCAAATCAAGAAGCTCAAGAAGTACCACTTCAGGGAGGAAGAGAAAGGTTGTGAGGATGCAGTTTCTAGTATAGAGGTGCAGAGAATCTTTACTCTGCCACATACAATTTTCTAACATTTTTATATTGCCTTGACATTTGATAAAATCCTTGTGTCTTAATTTGGTAATTAGTGCTGGTGATGGTGATTTGTGTTTCATTTTGTATTTAAAACCTTATAAAATATTATGTTCCATAGTAAGTACATACAATATTTTTTCTGAATATATCCATAGCTACATTTTCTTTGCTTATGAAATAGCTCTTGAAAAAGGCATAACTATTATTGCTATAGTTTCAGGGAATTACTTGCCTATTGTATAGGCATAATTTTAGAGTGATAGTTTGAATTTAAATAAAAACTTAGTGTTTAAATTCTACTACTTGTGATAAACATGCCTATTTTTAAAACATTAAAATATTTAAAGTAAAATATTTAAAAGTAATTCTAATGGTACGTGCATATAAACCATATACTTGGCAAACTCTTACTATTTTTCTACTAATAGTTTCTCCCTTGCCTTACAAAATAGATCTTTATAAAATAGGGAGGCTAAAGTGACCTACTCTTCATAATAAAATGCACATTCTATGCACTGTAGTTTTCATAATTCTATCTTATACTTTGTGTATTCTCAGTAATTATTTATAAATAACATGAGAATTATATATTAGAAAATTTAAATTTGAAAATTATTGTATTAAGGCTATTTTTGAAGGTGAAGGGTTAGTTTCTCTGTAGTCCTCTCTCAATATTTGTGCTGGAAATTTTTTGTGAGTTGAGGTGGTAATGTTTGTGTTTGTTAATAAAATCATAAACCTGGCAACAGCATGTAGAATAGGTTAGACTAAGGAGAGACTCCAGGCAGAGTGACAGATTACTTATAATAATCTACTCTTTTGACAACACTTTCCTTCACACTTCCCATGCACTTGTTTATGGTGTGTTTTCTACCTTTCTCCTTAATCTATCTCCTTCATGAACCTCTCATTCTCTACTTACCAAAATGCCATTTTTCAGCTTAGCAATATTATCAGCTAGAACTTGGATATGCTAATTCATTTACTGTTTGATTTCCAGTGTGAAAGAGTTAGCTTAGCTTCAAGGTGGCACGGATTCATCATTCTCCCTTTCTGTTTTTCTCCCTTTCACCTCTGGCCCTGGTTTTTTGGTCAGATATCTGGTAAGTGCATTTTAGAAACACTTTTAGATGTATTGCTACCACTTTGGTAGTTTAGTGCAAAGTTGGAGCTCACTGCACAGTCATTAGCGGTGGGCCCCCTATACCTTAAGCTCTTCTCACAAGGCTCTACTTGGCTGGTTTTATCAAGGCTCCTGGTTTTAGCTACATCTGTATGCAAATAGATTTTAAGATTTCTATCTTCCGGCTATGTTCTTTACCAAATTTGATACTCTTAATCTCTGTACATATACAACCATACTTGTTACCTGTTTTTCAAAACTGATTCTCCTTTTCTGTTGCACCACTGGGAGTCTCCTTTGACTTTTCCATCCTTCAATTTTCAATCAGTTAACAAATCATCAGATCTTACTGTCTGCACAACTAAAATTTTTCTCCAACCTATTTCCTGCACATTTTCTTGTATTTAAAATACAATAGAATCACAGTTATAATTGGCATTCCGAGGGGCTGTTTCCCAGTTTTCCTGTACTGTAAATAAGACAAAAGATCAAATTATCTATGTTCATTAAAAGTTGTGATTTTTTTCAATATTTTTTGGTTGATTTAAAAGTTATAAACTTTTAATGAACAAATCAGAGCATTTCCATATCTTGCCATTTATTTTTTTCATTCAACATATGACCACTGAATGAAAAAATGAAATATCTGTCTTTGCACATAGGATTATCTCTTTCTGGGGGGAAGACAGTCAAAATAATAGTTATATATAATCATGTTTTTTATCTTAAAATAAGAGTTCTACTTTGTGTAGTCATCACCTGTTGTCTAGGGTCTTCTAGTTTATCTCCTTTCTTCAAGTCCATACTCTGCACAACTTCTAGGATTACTTTTTGAAAATGAACTTCTGCAATGTCATTTTTGTTATAAAAATACTTATTATTGGCTGGTGTGGTGACACTTGCCTATAATCCCAGCAGTTTGGGAGGATGAGGCAGGAAGATTGTGAGTTCAAAGACAGCCTTAGCAAAAACGAGGTGCTAAGCAACTTAGTGAGACCCTGTCTCTAAAGAAAATACAAAATAGGGCTGGAGATGTGGCTCAGTGGTTGAGTGCCCCTGAGTTCAATCCCCAGTACCCCCACCTCCCAAAAATACTTATTATCTTTTGCCAGTAGGTTAAAGTGTATTATTTGTAACAAGGCCCATGAAGAGCCTAATTAATCTGGTCTCTAATTCCTCTCCAAGTACATTTCCTCTCACTCTTGACTTCAGACACCATTTATATTTCTCCACACCCACAGGTTGCTGTTTCTCACTACTATGCCTTTGTGCCAGCTTTTTCTGACCCCCCCACCACCACCTCATTGCCCAGCTATATTTTACTCATCCTTTAAGACTCATCTCAGGCAGTAGCTCCTCCAGTATCTCTCCTCCAAACTCTGGCTAGTGTTAGGTGACTGTCCCTGGTTCTTCTAGAATGCACTTTGAAAATATCTAACCATACTCAACATGTTACTATGCAATTGTCTTATGTTTTACTGTATTCCTAGACCCTGAAGTCTCTAAGGGCAGGGACTATCTTATACTGCTTTATATTCCCATTACCTAGCATAGGTCCTAACACTTGTTCAATATGTATGGTTGAATGAATGAATGATGCATTGGGGAAGCATCTTTGATTAAAGTAACTCATTATATCATGAAAGATATTGCTTTCTGTAAGCCTTTTTAAAATGACACTAGACCTAGGGATCAGGAAAAGTATATTTGGCAAATACAGAAGAGTAACCTAATCTTTAAAGGCCTCAGTTTTCCCATTGGTAAATTGAATATATCGAATGACATGATTTTATTCATCCTTTTTGGATAAAAATTCTGGGAACATAATACCTGGAGACATTTGGCAAATGTCTGGAGACTTTTGGCTTTCAAAACTAAGGAAAACACTATTGACAGTAGCTGGAGTTTGGGAATGCTGCTTAACATCCCACAATTCACAGAACCTGTCTATACAATCATTGTCTATCACCAGAACGAAAATCTGCTTTCTTTGCTTATTCTGATTTGCTGCTGCCTCCTCCTCCTCCTCCTCCTCCTCCTCCTCCTCCTCCTTCTCCTCCTCCTCCTTCTCCTTCTCTTCTTCTTCTTCTTCTTTTTCTTGTTCTTCTTGTTCTTCTTCTTCTTCACTGGCAGGCATTATAAAACTATTATTTTTACTACTTCTGCATCACAAGAAAGTAAGCGTATGTGCAAAGGTGGAAATTTTGTGTTATATGGTCAGTAATCCTGTGCTCAGTGAATGAATAAATGACTGAATGTGAAGATATGACAATGGTTTGAACTTGTCTTTAAAAGTTAAGACCTAGAGCTGAGTGTGGTAGTGCACAACTGCAATCCCAGTGACCTCAGAGGCCAAGACCAACCTGGGCAACTTAGGGAAACTGTGTCTCAAAAAAAATAATAATAAAGCGGGGTGGTGCTGAGAATGTACCTCAGTGATAGAGTGCCCTGGGTTCAAACCTTAGTATCACAAAAAAGTTATGACATACTCAGAAAAATGAGAAATTATACCCCATATGATTCAAATGTATGATATGTCAAGATCATTGTACTGTCATGTGTAACTAAAATGAAACAAATTTTTAAAAAGTTATGACATAGAGAATTTGATCTTTTGTCTTTTCTTATTTACAGAACAGGAGAACTGGGAAAATTGACAGCCCCTTGTAATAGCAATTGTAGCTGTTCACGATCCTATTATTATCCACTCTGTGGAGTAGATGGAGTCCAGTATTTTTCTCCATGCTTTGCAGGTTGTTCAAATTCTGTTTCAGATAAGAAAACAAAGGTAAGTGTGTCTGCTACTTTATCTTTAATGAGGCAATATGTGCATTTATGATAGTTCTTTTGATCCTATAGTGGAGTTGCTTTATCTTCCTGTCCCTCCTCCATTTAAAAAACCCAAACCTGCTGATGATAAACACCCTTCTTCCTTTATAACTCAAGTGGTTCTTGTTGAAATATCAATTTGGCAATTATTCACATATATTTTTGTAACATCACTTATGTTGTTAGAAAGACTTCCAATTTCTTCCCAAACCAACATGTGTGAGTGTATGTGTGTGAATCATGTACACTATATGTTCATTTGTAAGAAGTAGCTATAGAAAATTTAAAAGACTTCAGAAGAAGTTTAAAGAATTTTTAATCCCCAGAGGTTTATTTTCCTTCAAATCAAGTAGATATCTGGAACTGCTTTAGTTTCAAAACACCTTAAGAAAACCAGGTGTTTGTATCAGTTAAAAAGAATCAAATTCCACAGGGACCTTGGTGGATACCTTAGAATCAGAACTACTTGGCAGGTAGCTATTCCTTTGAGAGGTGGATAAGTAGGTAGCATTTTCTTACATATAAATATTAAAGAGTTAAATTATTAGAAAGATTTTAAATGCATAACTAAAAATGTACAGACAAAAATACCATCCTGCTTAAGGAAATGCTGATGAAAAATCTAACACCCAGAGCATACTAGGAGTACTGTTGATGATTTTGATATGGTTAATTTGCATTTGTATTTTTGACCATGTAATAAGATGATTACCTCCTTACACAGAAAATTGCCTTCTGGATATTGTATAGTAAGAGCAAGTTATTTTGACTTCCAAATATTGTCTTTGTCTTGGATTTTTATGTTCAGCAAGTCCACATCACTAGCCATTGATTCACAAGACATTTGTTCTTATGGAATAGCTTAAATAGGCAAAATGCAAAAAAGACAAAATAAAAAATAAATAAATATGCAAAATGCATAAAAAAGTAATAAATACATATGCACATTTTCTCACAACAATATTCATCTTATATTTTATAGGTATACAAAACAAGTACAAAAACAGACTTCATGGGCAAATGTGTATTTTATGTAAGAGAGCTGTGAAGTTTTTATCATAATACAAAATCCTGTTTTCAGTTTACCCTCTTACAATTTTAAATGAATTACTTTATTATTTGATACATCTAATTGCTTAGTATGTATTAGTTTTGGAGGTCTCATCTTCATATTTGGTTTCCTGTATCCATGCCAGTGGTCTTAAAACTGCTTTCTTAGCACTGAAAAAAGGTCTCTGGTTATTGGAACAATAAATATCAAAACTTTCCTGACTTTGTTTTGATGGTGGCTGTGATTTAAAATGTGTTAAAAGATTTATAGTAGGAATGCAGTTCAGATTTAAGATGCTTTTAAGAAAAAATTGTGGCTAACCAACTTTTTAGTTTTTATTTTATTTGTTTATCTATTTCTTAAGTTGCCTTTTGTGGTCCTGGAGATTAGAGCTGGTGATGCTTTACCTCTGAGCTATATCCCCAGCCCTTTTTATTATGAGACAGTGTCTTGGTTAATTGCTGAGGCTGGCCTCAGACTTGTGATCCTTCTACTTGTGATCCTTCTATAGATGGTCCTGAGCACCATCATGCATAGCCTAACCAACTTTTTACTTATCTGAATTATTTTTTCTACAAAGGAAAACCATGTGATTTTTTTTTGATCATGCTAGCTTTTAATATTTCATATTATCATTATATGCATAAGTATATTTATATACATACTAAGTGTATATGTAAAATAGTCTGTAGGATGATGATATTGTCATGTCTATTGTTTTGTTGTCATCAACCTACTGTGTTAGGAAGGATAGTTTACTTGCGCTAATGTAATTCCAATAAATTCAAAAAATTACAGTTAGAATGTTATAGTTAAAAGAAGCAAGTTGTTTTTTCCAAATCCTTAGGATCTGTTAATTAATATTAGTATGGTACTTGTCACAATTCTAGTGTTTGCTGTTAAACTATTGCAGATAATGAGATTGTTACTATAGTCTTCGATTTCTGTAGTGGAAAAGAATAAAGCTATTTAAACAATTATGGTCTAATGAAAACCTAAAGTATGTGAGATCACATAACTGCTATCAATTTGTTTTGTAAGTCATGAGACAATAGTAATTTACAAATTGAAGTAATGACACAAGTCAAACTACAGATGATTCTACTGCAAATGTATGCTTTGTTTCTACTTAATTTTTAGGGTTAATTACTCTTTCTCATCATTATTTATTGTATATGGATTAAGATAGTATGCAAAGTTTTGCCAAGTCTAAAGAGATCAGCTTATTTACAATGATAACAATCTATTTTCAGAATAAATACAGTGTTTTATATTTAACCCTTTCAGGTATATTACAACTGTTCCTGTATTGAAAGGAAAGCAGAAATAACACCTATGGCAGATAATTTTGGTTTTGAAGCTAAAGCAGGAAAATGTGAAACTCACTGTGCGAACTTGCCGATATTTCTTGGCATTTTCTTTGTTGCAATTATTTTTACCTTTATGGCTGGTACTCCAATAACTGTGTCCATATTAAGGTATGTATCAGTTGTGAATCTGCATTTTCTGAGGCAACCTGTTGAGTTAAAAGAAAAATAGATTCTGTGGCAACTTCAGCCCTTGCAAACTCATTAATTCTGTGGCATTGGAAAAGTAACCTCACAGATCCCCAGATTTATGGAGTTTAAATCAGATTGTGCGAAAGCATCTTAACTTTGACTACCTGGGATGTACTTGGTTTTTCTCTGCCTGTTTTTATAAAGCTTCTTTTTGTGAGAGCTGAAGATACATTCAATTCAATTTGGGCATCATGGAAATGAAGAGCACTCCTTGTAAGCCAGAATTAGAAATGACATGCATTCTTCCTTAAACATGAGGTGCTCTGAAAGTAAATCTTCCTGGAGACAGGGCTTCAGTAAGGAGCTGCTGTCACCTGGCTGTTTGTTTCTTATGCTTTCAATTGTTCCTTTTTTTTCCATATTGAGCTTTACAAAACTATTTCCTACCTGCCCTACCTTGGACTCACCAGCCTTTCTGTATTTTTCCTAGCAAGCTGTAGATTTTCTCGTTTCAACATTTTGTTTCATAATAGTCACTTGCTACCTTTTCATGTATTTTTAAAAATATTTTTTTTGTTGTCAGTGGATCTTTTATTTATTTATATGCAGTGCTGAGGGTCGAAATCAGGGCCTCACACATGCCAGGCAGGCACTCTACCACTGAGCCACAACTCCAGCTCCCTCATGTATTTTTTGATGAAAAATGTTTCTGGATTCTATTCTGAAAACATTAAGTAGTTAATACTACACAACATGAAAATTGGAAGTATTTAGAGAAGAGGAAAATGCTTTTAATTTTTTTTTTTGAAAAATTATAGAAATTACTTTCAACTACTTGTTTTAAAAGTCTGGTGGTTGTCTTTTATCTTTCATATGATTTTCTTTTTGTGATCAACATTGTGTCTCTTTAATGTTTGACACTTATGACTTGAAGAATTATTGTTGATTCAAATGGAGCTTCAGATTCATACCTGAATCTGTCTCAGATATATACCCTATTCCATAGGCATGATTTCTGTATCAAAGTTAGAAAAGGAATAAGAATTACGTGTTTGCAACTTAAAAATGATAGTAAAAACTCAGCATTTTTTTAGTTTAAATTTTAGTTTATTTTTTTAAAAATTCCAGATTTATTTGATTTAATTGGCAAATGAAATTTGAATATATTTAAGGTGTGTAATACAATATTTAAAAATATATATACAAGGAAATGATTATCACAATCAAACACACACACACACATACATATATCATCTTACATAATTATCATTTGTGTGTGTGGTGAGAACGTTTGCCATCTACTTTTTTGAATTTTTTTTTGCTGTAGATGGACACAATATCTATCTATCTATTTATTTATTTTTATATGCTGCAGAGGATCAAACCTAGTGGCTCACGCTTACCTCACTGAGGCCAGTGCTCTACCACTGAGCTACAATCCCAGCCCTGTCATCTACTCTTAACATATTTCAAGCATACAACACAGTATTATTAAGTGCAGTCCCCATGGTGTGCATCCCATCTCCAGAACTTGCCCTGAGTAATTGAAACATTTTACCCTTTGACTAACATCATCCCATTTCCTCACCCTCAGCTTCTGCCAATCATTAATTGTTCCCTATACTTATGTGAAGTTGTTTTTTTTAAAAAATCCACATATGAATGATATCATGTAGTATTTTGTCTTTATCTTATTTATTTCCATTAGCATATCTTCAAGTTTCTTCATATTGTAACAAATAGCAAGATTTCCTTCGCTTTATAAGGCTGAATAGAATCATCTGTCACATTTTATTTATCCATTTACTTAGGTTGAATCCATATCTTAGCTATTGGGAATACTGCAATGAACACTCTTGGACATACTTATTTCATTCCCTTTTGTATGCAATCAGATGTGAGATTGCTGAATCACATGCTAATTTTAATTTTTGAGGACCCTCTGTATACTACCTTTCATAATGACCATACCAGTGTTCATTCTTTCTAATAGTATGCTATGTTTCCCTTTTCTCTAAATCCTTGCCAACATTCATTATCCATTATATATTTTTTATAATATTAACACCAATAGGTGTGAGTTTATTTAATTCTGATTTTGATGTACATTTCCCTGATGATTTCTTATGTTGAGACTTTTTTTTCATATTCTTGTTGACCATTAGCATATATTCCTTGCAAAACTATATTTTGGTTATTTTTTGAATTGGATTCTTTTTCTAGCTATTTTGTTGTTTTAGTATCTGATTTCCTTTGGATGCTAACCCCTCATGTAATGTATGGTTTGCAGATATTTTATTCAATTCTATAGGTTATCTTTTCACTTTGATGATTGTGTCCTTTGCAGTGTAGAAACATTTTAGTTTGATGTAATCTCATTTATCTATTTTTGCTTTTGTGCCTATGCTTTTGGTTTTATACATTTAAAAAATCACTGACTAGACTAATGCTAAGTAACTGTACTGTTATATGCTACTTTTTTGCTTAAGTTTTAAATATTCAAGTCTTGTGGTTAAGTCTTTAATCAATTTTGAATTGATTTTACTTATAGTACAAGTTAAGGATCCAATTTCATTCTTTTTTTCATGGGAATATTTAGTTTTCACAATGCAATATATTGAAGAAAATCTTAATTACCCATAGTATGTTCTTGATACCTCTGTCAAATGTCAATTATATAGATTTACTTTGTGGCTTCCTATTCTGTTCTATTGGTGGATGGTGTGTGTGTGTGTGTCTGTGTGTGTGTGTGTGTGTGTGTGTGTGTGTGTATCTTGTATGCCAGAATCATATTTCTTCATTTGTATATCTTTGTACTATACTTTGAAATTGGTTGATATAATGCCTTAAGCTTTGTTCTTTTTGTTCAAGATTGATTTAACTATTCTGAATCTTTCTATATGAATATTAGAATTATGTTTTCTGTTTTTGTGAAAGATGCTGTTGGCATTTTGATAGGAATTATATTGAAACTGTAGAATACTTTGAGTAGTAGATATATTTTAACAATATTAATTTTTCTAATCCATGAGCATAGGATGCCTTTCCATTTATTTTTGTCTTCCTCAATTTCTTTCATTATTTTTTAAATATTTTTAGTGCACAAACTATACTCCTTTGATTACTATTATTCCTACATATTTTTATGCAATTGTAAATGGGATTGATTACTTAGATTTACCTAGTTTTGAATAGTTTATTGTTATTGTATCAGTCCCAGAATTTTACTAAATTCATTTGTTAATTCTAATATTTTTGGTGGAGTCTTTAAGAATATATATATATATATATATATATATATATATATATATATATATTCACACACATATAAATAATTAATATAAATCATCTGTAAAAAGACAGTTTTAATTTTTTATTCCCGTTTTTTATGCCTTTTATTTCTTTTTCTTACCTAAGAACTTTGGTCAGGAATTCAAATACTGTGATAAACAGAAATTGTGGTATTATATTCCTATCTCAAAGGAAAGGCTTCCAGTTTCTCACCATTAATTATGATGCTAGCTATAGGTTGTTCATATATGAAACTGTTCCCTCTATACCTAATATTTGAGAGATTAGGTGTAGAGGGAACATTTAAACATGACTCTTCTCCTTTACCTTTGTTAAAATTCATAGGGTCTGGTGATGTTTTTTTGGTGTTATTTAATTCTGATAAAACTTTTCTTACTTTATAATCCCAGAATGAATAAACTATAAGATCTTTTAAATAACCTGTTTATTTATATGCACATTTACTTTTTATCAAAATGCTAAACTGATATGGATATGAACTTGTTCGAAGAGTGATTATTCTAAATAACCTTTTTTGGTCTCACTTGCATTTAATATTTCCAGGTGTGTTAATCAAAATCAACGATCTCTAGCATTAGGAATACAGTTCATGTTACTTCGATTATTAGGTATGTCATTTCATTGGTAATTGTTGGCTATTTTGGTTCATTGATTTTATGAATATATTTCTATATGGTATATGCCAAGAAAATAATTAAAATAAAGAGGAAAACTATATAATTGTCATTTAAGAAAGCTATTTTCCAATACTCAGGATGTAACATTAATTATATACCACATGATAACATGACAACTTTTCACTTACCCAATTTGTTACGGTTATTTCCAATCATGTTGCAAATATAACTTTATAAGGTGTATCAAATTTACTTAGAATATAAAATAAAATCTTTAATACACAATTTAATTTATCCCTGCTTTTATCTTTATTTGTGACACTGTTATGATGCATTAACAGTAAAAATTAATGAGTTAAAATATGTCAGTAGCAACAGTGGTGCAAACATTTTTACAAACTAAGAACCAATGGGAGAAATAATATATTCTAGAGAATTTTCTAAGTTTTTAGATATGGGAATTTGCAGATGTAGAAAGAATAAAAAGGAAATATAATAAACATAATATTGTGATAATTTATTAAAATAAAAATAAAAAAGAACATTAGAGATTACCTAAAACAAATTTCTTATTTTTCTCATGAGTAAATTAAGTTTCTGAAGAATTCAGGGGTTTGTCCATAATTACACAATTGATAATGGAAATGAGACCAGGAAAATGATCCTTTTCAGTCAATTGCACATATATATAAAATTTCAGTTGTTGATAGACTTTTTTATTTTTTATTTTTATATGTGGTGCTGAGAATTGAACCCAGTGCTTCACACATGCTAGGAATGCACTCTACCACTGAGTTACAACCCCAGCCCCAATGAAGTGTATTTTTGACTCTATCATGTTACATGTCATGAAAGCACAGACCAGATATAGCCTGTTTCATTCTAAGAAGTACTACTGGAAATCTGACATTTGACTTGTAACAATTGGAAGTGTCTTGACTATAGTCATCTCTGAGTGTCACTGGAGGATTTGTTCCAAACCCCTGCAGGTACCAAAATCACTGGATGCTCAAGTCCCTAATGTAAAATGGCTTAGTATTTGTATATAATTTAGGCATATCCTGTTTTTCAATATAGGTCAATCTGGGATGGGGCTATAGCTCAGTGGCAAAGCAGTTGCCTAGCATGTGTGAGGCACTGGCTTAGATGCTTAGCACCACATAAAAATATACAAATACATATAGGTCAATCATCTCTAAATTCCTTATAACACATAAACAATGTAAGTGCTATGTATCAATACAACTGTTATACTATATTGTTTAGGGAATAGTGACAAAGAAAAACAGTCTGCACGTGTTCAGTATAGATGAATTTTTAAAAAAATATTTCAAACCTATTGTTGGTTGGCTCCAATAATGTGTGTGTGTGTGTGTGTGTGTGTGTGTGTGTAAGAAATACTCATGTTTACTAACATGTTACATACATGTGTGTACTCATATAAATTCATATTAACTTGTATACACAACACATATATTATATATATTATATAGTTCAACAGACTTACTTTTATATTATGAGTAAGCATTTTAATTTTTAAAATCTATAATAGCTAATTTCAAAGGCATATTCATTAAATTATAAAACAATGAATTAAACTCTTTACTAAGTTAAATTTTAATATAATATATGCTTAAGATTTCTGTTAGTATTTTTGAACTGATTACAAAAATATTTATTTTAAAGTATTTTATCTGTCTTTTTGCCTTGTACATGAAATGATTAACTTTCTCATTGACAGTCTTGTGCCCATTTTTATGTATATAAATATACGTATAGCTATATATATTAAAAACTTGTGATTGCAAACTGTAACCTTTACCCTTTTGTATTTTGCCTATAATTCTTCTAGGCACAATACCTGGACCAATTATATTTGGTGTCACAATCGACAGCACATGTATTCTCTGGGATATTAATCAATGTGGAATTAAAGGTGCTTGCTGGATTTATGATAACATAAAGATGGCTCATATGCTAGTAGGTATAGGTAAGTGACTTCTTGAAAACTTTAGAGTAAATGTGAAGTAAAACAATCTCATTTTTGGTTCCGTAAGTCATAAGAGTTATGGAAAGTTCAGTGTAAACTGATGGACAATCCTGGAGTCCTGAGCAGAAATCATTTGCTACACCATGTAATGAGAATCTTTGAAGACAGTCTTCACTAGAAAGTATAATTTTAACTTTCATTATTTCACACATCATATAATTTTCTTTTTTAATTTTTTTTCACACTTTTTATGGGAGTTTACCCAAAAGCTAAAGATAAATTCTGAGAATGATGGTCATCTAGGTGTTCAGGCTTTGGAAAACATAGACCTGCTGTAGGGAAGTGTCCTTTGGTTCTGAGACATGTTGTAAGAAATTTTTTATAATTTTTTTTTACTGTTTATAGCATTTTATTTTTTTTTTAATATTTTTCATTGGTTGTTCAAAACATTACAAAGCTCACGATATTATAGTTTATAAGGTTAGTCTTGATGCTTAACCCTATTCACCTTTTATGGTCTGTGCTATTTTGATTAAATAGCAAATGAAAGTTAAGATTAAGGAAGTAGAGTAGCACATGTAATGTATAGTAGTATGATAAATTTAAAATTTAAATTTCAAAAATAACTCAAGTAATTAGAATATTTAAAAATAGAGAAGTGTTTAATATATTTGTATATCTATGTAGCTCCTCTTTCCACAAATATAGTAATGGTTGTATCAATGAGCATTCCTGATTTTCAAATATACATTTTTAAATAAAATAGTAATGATTAGTAAAAAACAATCAGCTTCTAGAAAAACTACATGACAAGATCACATTTAATTTATTCTACTGGCACTTATTAAATGCTTAGTATTGTGGTTGGAGCTAGTTTTTCTTTGCCTCATTGATTTCAAAACCAGAGTTCTTTGAAAACAGATCAAAGTTTGTGAAGTAAATCTTAATGTTTCATATTTTTAGGTAATACAGCAGGGTAAATTTGGTTAAGTAGTAAATGTGATATATTTATGTAGAAGAGTTCTCCTAAGAACTCCGAAGGTTTTTTTTTTTTCATTTGAACACAAAACACCTGCAACTTATTCAAGTTTAAGGATGATATAATCTATTTTATTTTATCACAGTCACTTGGTTACTTATGAATTTCTTAAGATATGATAGTGTGTTAAATTTATAAATAGAATGTGGATTTACTTAATCCCACACAACACTTACTTGACAAGAATAAGCAATCATGACCATGGATACAATAATTACTGTATATTTAACTGAAGGGCCAAATACATAATTAATTTTTATTTTTCTATTTAGCTGTTACTTGTAAAGTTATCACCATTTTCTTCAATGGACTTGCAATCTTTTTGTATAAACCACCACCACTGAACACAGATGTGTCATTTCAAAATCAGAATGCAGTTGTGACAACGGTTGCAGTAGAAAGGGATCTCAACAAAGCAGGAAATGAAGGGTGAAGAGGAAAAGATTATTTGACAGTTGGAAAATTGACCTCCATTTCTAAGAACACACAGTGCCACAGCAGCATTATCTACCGAGTATAGTCAATGGTATTTTAAACATTGATGGTTTATAATCACATGTGTTTGTTGTATATGTATGGACTCTTGATTTTCATACAAGAAACAGACCTGTGCCTTCAAAGCCAACCAAAGCCTCAAAACACAGGCTCACTTATTTTTCACTGTCTAGGTATGAAATCTCCAACCAATAACAAGAAAAATAGCTAAAAATTAGTTTAAAATCCATATTTAAGAAACACCATGATGAAAAGTTTTTATTTTGTTTACAACTTGTTGCATTTTTGTCTCTAATAATCTAAACGTATTTGGGAAACTTGTAATGTAAAAATTTAAACTAATCACTGTTATGTTATTGTTTCTTGGAATTTTGAAAGTCCATGAATTTAAAGGCAGCTTTACAATGTAATTTGTTTTTAAATTACATATATTAATCTGATCTTTATTTTACTAAAGTTACTTTATTGAACTATTTAGAATATAGGTAGGTTACTTACCTTCTTTGTGTCCCAGTATATGAAAAATTTCAACATCAAATATACAAGTTCATTTCAACATAAGATTTCCAGTAGCTGATTTTTTATGTTGCTGATTTTTAATACTTATTTTTTTGTTCTGTGATAGTATTATTCAATTATATATATTTCAGAAGAAAGAACCAGCTTCCACAATGAAAAGTGCCAATTAGACATAAAAAGATTCCTTAATGTGATATTACTTGTATACAGAATAATTTTTCTTAATTTTAAACCTGATAACCTAGCACATTACTTAGACTACCTACAATATGGCTTTGCACATAGAAGGCATCTATTATTGTTATTTGATTAAAACATTAAACCCTGTTCTTTGCTGCATTTAGTATAAAGGTGAAGTATTCCATAAACCTGATAAAATTATAAATAAACTTCATTTATGTAGGTCAGATTTATGTCAAATTTACTCAGAATATAGAGGAACTAGTTCAAATCAACCAAAGCAACTTCTACTATTGTTAAAAATTTTACTGACTAGAAAAGTGTTATCAGATTTTCCCCATCAGAGCCTTCCCCTAGGTTTTTTTTTTTTTTTTCCAAGCAGGGTTTTAGTAGACTGTGATGAGGTTATCACACAGAGAGTAAAGACCTAGTGGGAAGCTAGGGTCAGAAGGACTAGACATTTGCAGAATTTAAGAGATTGGTTGGTGGAAATCTGTGGTAGATGAGTATTCAGGATCCTAGGAGCATTCATAAGCTGAAATTCAAGGAGAAGGATGGAGGTGTTAGGAAGCAAGCACACTTGGCTATTAGATGGAAGCAGAAGGTCAGGAAGCAGAGGGATAGATAGAGCTGCTTAAACTGGGACATTTAAGCACCAAAAATTAAACCTGGAAAGCCAAAAATTCAGGTATTTGGGAAGTGGGAAATTTCAGCAATCAAATGTGAGAGAGTCAGGGGAACGAGTATGCCATTACCTCATGTGAGACTCTTCCTCTCACCCAGCCAGACACATTCAGATGCTGCTACCTGTTGGGACCAAGGCTAAAGTAGAATTTAGGCTGATGAGTGCTAGTGTGGACACAAAGAACTGCAAGGGAAAATTTCACAGCGAGTAAACTAATGGTAAATCTGAGACACTTACTGATAGAAATGTGAAATGAGAATAAGAAAGTAAACTAGAAAAAGTAATTATACAAACATGTGAGTCTAGGACCACTTAATTTAGGGAGAAGAACAAAAAAAATCATCCCATGCATAGAAACAGTTTGAACAAGTCATCAAATAATTGGCATTTGTACTCAAGGGCTACATTGTATTCAGTATACTCTGTTTTGTAAGATGATAACATTTTTAACAAACATTTTAATGAAAATAGAATAAACCAATAATTTTAGCCTTTAAAAGGATTCATTATTTATGATATACATATTTAGAAAGAATACCTCCTTTGACAATAGGTGATACAGACACTACTATAATTTATAATCATCGTTTTTACTTTTGTATCTGCCTAGGTTATATGGGTTATATGGGTTTTTACTTTTGTATCCACCTAAGTTATATGCTACTTCTAGGACAAATTTTTTCATAATATGTGTTTCTCACAATTTGTAATGATTTTAAAGTAAGGTTGAACTTACACGTTGACATATGGGATTTTGTACATAATTGGATATATATCTTAAAACTTTTAAGACATTTTTGTCTTAACTGTAGAAAATGCAAATGTAAAACTGTTATATATAGAAAAACTGAATATATCTGACTTTACCATGTACATTAGAGGAATATATAGATATAAATTTCTTTCAGGATTTTTATTGTGAACAATTATACAAAATAAATGTACGTCTATTTTATTGAATAAGAATGTTTGTATTAGATTATTTTAAGCATTTGAGCTTATTAAATAACACAGTTTTGGAAATTTTGGCTTGTCTCTGTTTGTGAATATAAACACGTTTATGGATGGGAAAGGGACCTTGTTGCACATTTGAACTTGGTGAATACAATTTAATGATTTCAATGATTTTTGGTAACTCAACAGATGTATTTAATAGAAAACATTTGTTATTAGATATATACTAGAAACATTCTTTCACATGATAGTTTCTGTGTGACAGAGTGACATAAGATTTATATGAGTAGGCTACATGTTGCAGATAGTTTATTGTAAAATATCTGAAACTTAGAGAAGTAATATGGTTTATAAGGGACATATTTAGTTCATCTTGGTTATCAAAATGCTCATTAAAATACTTGTGAAGAAATCACATGGGACTCTAATAGTTTTTACCTAGTCTGGCTCTTTCCTAAAATCCCACATTAAATTTATTTCACATGGTGTCTTAGTCTTTTCTTATTGTGCTTCTTTTCTATTGCTGAATATTTATTAACTCCAAACTTCAGTGACTTAAAATATTTATTTTCTTATGGTGTCTGTGGGTCAGCAATTCAGGAGCAGTTCCGCTGGGTTTTCAGTAAAGATGTTAATTAGGACTATAATCATAGAAAGACTTGCCTGGGATGGGATCATCTGCTTGTAAGAAGGGGTGTTCATGTGGCTGTTAGAGAGCTCCATTCCCCAACATGTGGTCCCCTTCATAGGGCCTGAAGACATGGCAGGGGTGAAGGATAGAAAGGAGAGTGGTAGAACAACCACAACTCAAACTATAATATCTAGTGGGACCTAGTATTAGTGACATATTCCTTCTAAAAGCTGCATTCTGTTGTCATTCAGAGAACCATGGCAAGCCTAATCACATATGCAAAGATGCTTCACCACAGCACCAAAATTCATAGGTTGAATCAACCAGGGAGGGGGAGACATCTTTAGAAGTCTGCCTATCACGTCTGATACAATGTGGGAGGAAACCACAGAAATGAAAAGGCTGGGTCACTGGAGTAATCCTAGAAGCTGGCTACTATACAAGATCCTCATGTTTTGGAAAAGGATTGGCCAATGATTTTGTAAAATATCCTTTAATTTGGGTTTGTCTGATGTTTCCTAATGATTAATACTGATATATATTTTTTTGGCAAAAATTCTAAAAATGGTGCCCCTGATCTTCCAGCACATTGTATCAATATGATGACTGTATATGGTAGATTTTTGATCATTTTGATAAGTTTTGTGTTCGCCAGCAATGACTGGTCTAACTTTATTTCCTTCTTTGTTTTTAAGAAATATCTCTTGTGTAGATACTTGGAGACCATGCAAATATTTATTTCTCAGCAAGCTTTCACCCAAGTCTGACATTTATTGATGACTCTTACATGCACTCTAATCTGTTTTTTGCCAACAATGATTTTCTATTTCCATCACTTCTTTAAGTTTATATTAATTAGGATTCTACTCTAAGAAAGAGCTATCCCAAACAAGTTTGCTCAATTGTGTAAGTATACATTGATTTTTTTTTATTCTGTGGAATGTTATTTTTATTCATTAAATTGTCTTACATTCGGTAGTTGGGAGCACTATCATGTTGGTAATTGTTTCTTTGTCTGTTTCATATGCACATCATTATTGAGCATATTTGTATAGCTCAGCACCATAAAATGTTCCTGGCTAGCTGAGCACAGTGTTGCCTGCAATATCAGTGACTCGGGAGGCTGAGTGAGGAGGACTGCAAATTCCATGCCAGGCGCAGCAATTTAGTGAGAACGCTGAAACTCAGCAAGAAGCTGTCTTAACATTAAAAAAGCCAGTTGCACTCCTGCAATCCCAGTGACTTGGGAGGCTGAGACAGGAGGATCTCAAGTTCAAACTCAACCTTGGCAACTTAGAGAGGCCCTAAGCAACTTAGCAAGACCCTGTCTCAAAATAAAACACAAAAGAGCTGGGGATGTGGCTCAGTGGTAAAGGCCCCCTGGCTTCAATCCTTGGTACCAAAAAAAAAAAAAAAAAGACTAAGGGTGTAGCACAATGGTAAATTACTCCTGGATTCAATCCCCAGTACCAAAAATAAATAAATAAATAAATAAATAAATAAATAAATGTTCCTGCTTGTTCTGCTCCTGTACTTTACCTTCTACCAGAATTCCTAGTTCCTTGTATTGAAGAATGGCTTTTAAAAACCAAGATTTTCATGTCAACACAAATCTCAACATCTATTTCTTTTTTTTTTCATATGTGAATATGCACTGAATACCTCCAATTGAGATCTAGTGCCACTGAGTTCATTTCAGTTTTCCCTTTTTTTACTTGTAAACCCTTTCTCTGAGAGTGAGAAACCTGGCTCTCATTATCTACAAATCATTTGTACTATATTGCAGCATTGGTTTTCTATTACTAACATGACAGATTATTGCAAATTTAGTGTCATAAAACAATATTCATTAATAAGTTTCATTTGTGCTGGTTGGAAGTCCAGACACACTGGTTTAGCTTGTTTTCAATCTTTTTCTTCTCAAGTTGAAGCCAAAGTAAGGTTGTGCATTTGTGGAAGGTCTGGGGAAGGATACACTTGCAAGCTCATTCAGGCTGTTGGGTAAATTCAGCTCCAGACCATTTTATCAGTAAGGTCTCTGTTTCCTTGAGGGCTAATATCTGGAAGCTACTGTTCTTGGGTCCTGGGGATCATCCACATTTCTTGACTCATGCACCTGCCCTCACTTCCTCATCTACAAACAAGCAAGGACATGCCAGTCCTTAAGATTTGAATCTCTCTGACCTCCCTCTCTCTTACATCTTTCTTGCTGTCTGCATTGCTGCATTTTTTTCCACTTAGCATGATAAAATTATCTGCTTTTAAAGGGCTCGTCTATTTAGATTGGGCCAATTCAGACAATCCAGTATAAAAGCTCTATTTTAAGGGCCTGCAAATTTCATCTGCAAATTCTCTTTACCACACCATTTGCATGAGTTTTCATTGAGCAGGCCAAGGGAAGGGAATCTTTAGAATTTAATCTGCCATACCTGATATACACATAAGTAAGTATATCACTGCCGCATATGCTGTAAAGATCTGGTTTACTGAGACAAACATTTGGGATGGTGGCAGGAGAAGCTTATCAGATGCTTTCCTAAAATTTGGTGATGTAACATAATTAGGAAGAATTATTTAACTATTTCATGACTCAGAAAATCAAAGGCATATAATAAATTAGGAAATATGTGTTCACCAATAAACCACTAAATTTCTGATAAGAACAATGGGAATGCCTGGGTGTGGTAGCTGGGGTTACTCCCATTCCCTTGTCTTTATAGTACTATGCGTTGGAGGCAGAGTAAAAACTAGCAGTTTGGTGGTGGAGGAGGCTAACTTGATTTGGAGTGGAACACAGTAAAACCAAAGGCCACCAGGCATTTCCCCAGATACTATCAATGTAAATGGCCAGTCTTGCAGCCTGCCTGAGGCCAAGATGCTGGGAGAAACAAACAGATCTTCCTTTCTGACAAACACTTTTTATAAAAGAACTGGAAATCTCTGGAGAGACAGTTATTGCTGTACTGAAAAATATCTATCCCATCTGCAAAAAGGGCTCAACAATAATGACTGTTAATGTCTTTTTAAAAATAATTAAACTTAAAAATGATATTTTACTCTATATAATTTTAACCCCATAAAATTGGTTAAAATACTTTATTTTT